AGCGATTCCGTGAATTTTTGCATAGTGGGAAGCCAGAAGGTTTGATTTACCTACAGAGTCGGTGATATGGGAAGAGTTGGCAATAAGGTGGGGAATGGTGGGTTTAGGAGAGTTGTTGAAAAATTTGGCTATTCGCCATATGGATTGGTCTTTTAGGTTAATTTTGCTAAGTTTGGAGTCCCAGATGTTGTTGCGCCATTCAGTAATTTCTGTATGGATTGCTTTGCTGTAGAAATTTACCCATGTTTTTAGGAAGGGGTTACGGGATTTTTGCTACTTAGATCTTAAGTAGTTCTTGGTTTTGATGAGGTTAATCAGGTGAGGAGGCAAAGGTTCATCTTTAGTGAGGCCGATTGAACGAGCGGTATTATTTAGTATGGCGGAACTAATTATTGTTGAGAAAAGAGAGATGTTGTTGTCAATCATCTCTTGATTGGAGCAGATCGGGTTAGTCGAAGGGATAGCTTCATTGATGTCAGATCGGAATTTGTGCCAATCGGTCTTCGAGAAATTAAGCCTGGAGGTATCAACTGAAGAGTATGAGTTGCCAAAAATAGTGAAAATGAGGAGTAGGTGGTCGGAGGGAGAGTCGTGGAGGATGTTAAATGTTTTAATTATAAAGTAATTGTTAGTGAGAGCGAAGTCGATAGTGCTGGGGGTATTCCCGCTTCCAGGGAAATGAGTTGGAGAGGGAGGTTGGTATAAAAACAGGTTATTGGAGGTTATGAGGTTGATTAGCTCAATGCCGGATGGGTTAGATTCTTGGGAGTTCCAGGTGGGATCGTGGGCATTGAAATCGCCCGCCAGTATGGTAGAGGGATTTTTGTCAAATAAGAGATTTTATTAGGTTGGAGTCAAGTTTTATACTCGGAGGATTGTAGATGAAATAAACGTGTACACTCTTATTATCAATAAAAATTTCCGTACCTACATATTCGGTACTGGATTTGATGGGAGAAGGAAGAACGTTGTATTTCAGCGACTTGTGGATCACAATTGCCACACCACCACCGGCCTTGTCGACTCTGTCTGCTCTAACAATGTTGAAATTTGGTAAATTTATTTTTTTGGTAGATTTACTCAGCTTAGTTTCTGAAAGGAGTAAAATTTTTACATTATGATTTAAAACTAGATGATTTAGTTTAGTTTTTTGATTTAATATTTAAAGCAAGGATATTAAAATTAAGTCTCTTCGTGGGAGCCATGAGGGAAATTGGTGGTAAATAAGTGTTCATATTCCGCGAAAATTTTTAATTTTTCTAGAGGGGAATCCGCTTTTTTAAGCCTAGAAATCATTTCTTTGGCACTAGAAATAATAGAAAGGATGTTCATTTCTTTAAATTCATCAACAATTTCTCTGACTTCTGCGAAGTAATTAAATGTGCTACTTAAATTGGTATAAGTTGAAGAACGAGTTGGAGTTGCAGTCCATGCTTTGGATGATGTTGGTCTAAGAGGCTGCGTTGAGGTGGTTTGAGGGTTTTGCGATGATTCGGCAGTTGATGGAGCAGTGAGCGGAGGAAAGTCGTTTAGGTTAAGGTGATGATTGGCTGAAGATGATCCAGTCAATAACGGAAAGGTTGGTGGTCCGGTGGACGTGTGGTCGGTCAACCGACTTGCTGAGGGTTTTGAGGTTAGTTTGGATTTCGCCATCTTAATGATGTAGAGCTGCCTCTCAGGGCACTCTCTAAAGCTGGCCACGTGGTTGGCATCACAGTTGGCACATCTGAGGGATTTTGATGTGCACTCTTTGGCATCATGGTTCAGTCCACATTTTACACAGCGATGTGGGAGCTTCCAGTGACTGCTTGCGTGCCCAAAATGCTGGCAGCGAAAGCATTGGAGGGGTTGGCCGTTGGTTTTAAATTTTTCCACTTTAAAGGTGTGATGTAAAATTGTGGGAATTTTAGCGATGTCAGTCATTTTTGTGCCTGATCCGACTGTGATGGCGAATATTGGCAATTTTGTAACTGTATCATTTGTTTTGTCCTTTTTAGTGAATTGTTTGATAGCGTTAACCTTAATTCCGCTGGCTGTGATTTCCTCCTCGATGTCCTTTGCGGAGAAGGATGCCGGAGGCTTTTCAGGATAAATTTGGAGTATTTATCCTGCTTGAAACCATAAGTAAAGAAGTGGATTTTTTGGTCATCCAGGATTTTGCAAACGCTTTCGTGATCAGCACGGTTTAGGAGTGAGATGGTGGATGAATTGCCGCGGCATTTAATCTTGAAGTCATCGTTGGTTACCTTGGCGAGGATATTTTTGACAAGTTGTTTTGTGTCGACGCTTCCATTGTTAATAACGATGGGAGGAGTTGGTTCAATCGTTCCCGATCCAGGAAGAATAGTTGGATTTTCAGGAGTTGGAGTAGCCCGTGGCTGAGAGAGAGTATGAGTGGGGTCTGCGACTCCCGTTTTTTTTATCTTCGATTTCTTCCCTTTAGGGCTCATTTCATTTTTCCTCTTAGAGGTAGCAGAAGTGGTTTTGACAGGGTTGTTATTCACTATGGGTCGGTTGTAGAAAACGGATGGAGTTAATAACTCAATACAGTACTCTGATGGTTAAGGATAAAATCAGAAACGCTAGAGTAGAGAGGGCACAGAAAAGCATCCGTGCAGCTCGGGACTCCGAGCGGAACTGAACTGAGCTAACACGCATTTATAACTTGTAATTTTTAATTGTGCATATAAGCTCTATGTCAACTTTATAGAAATACTGTTGTTGAATAAGGTTCTATTTATTTAATGTAACTAACATCAGTAACTATTTACTTAATTTACATTATTCATTGATATAAGTCACTTTTCCTCGACCCCCCCC